AAGAAGAAAAGATTCAAATGCATAAGTTTGTAGTAGAAAGATTTCTGGGAGGATTCAGAAATAAGTAGCAGCGATTACCTCTGAGGATAGGGATTAAATAGGATGGGAGGAATATTTTTACCTTTCAATTTATCTTTTCCATATTGCTTAAATTTTCAAAAACAGTAACCCTGCATTGCTTATAAGTTAAGAATAATTTTAATATTTAAAAAAGTTGGACAGGATTTCATATGGAAGAGAGACAACTTCCAGGCCGTTCTAGAAGAAAGAATGTAATTGATTTTGAGACAGTTTTAACTCAAGAAAAAACAAGAAAGAAATTTGCCTGATATTAGGCAGAGACTGGGATAGGGAAGACAATGCTTTGAGATGCAGTGTAGACTACATGCCTGTGTCAGTCTGTTTTTCTGATGCTACGACAAAATAACTGATGCTGGATAGCATTGAAAAAAGAGGTTTTCTTAGCTTACTGTTTTGGAGCCTGGAAGTCCAAGATTGGGTGCTCCATCTGTTCTGCTCTGGTGAGAACCTTCTGGCTACATCATAATATGGTAGCTTGTATGATGACATGTGAGCAGTGCAAGTAGAAGAGAGAATCAGGGAAGTACCAGGCCACGTTGTTAGAATCCATTCTCTTGGGAATGGACTCTACAAAGATCTGCAAAGGTGGTGTCCAGTGATCTAATCACCTTCCACTAGTGTAACCTCTTTAGAGAAAAGGAGGACAGTAAAGCTCCATGTCCCTGAATGCCCAGCCAAATTAAGCCAACAAAGAGAGCCCTGGGCTGGAAAGCCCAGATACACACGATCTTGAAGGACACTCTTCTCTTATGCACACCAGCAGCTAGGGCAAGTTAGTGTTATACGTAGGCAGCTCTGTTCTTGCACATACACCAGGAAGGTTGCTCCTTGGGATGCTGGTCACATAAGCAAACTAAGCAAGCAATGCTGATGGCATCACTGATTCTATAGCCTAACATGTAAAACCCCTCTTTGAGACTGCTGTGGAACTGGGGACACTGTGGAAAAGATACTTGTTACTTGTCCTGCTGGCTGCCACTGGACAAAGTGCCAAGAGGGATGGAGGCACTGCTTGGGGAAATGCCATGAGGGACAGAGGTGCTAGCTGTTTCTCCTGTCACCACTGAACTTTACTTGGAGCAGCCACTGATCTCTTGTAAACTTTCTCGAATAAATCATGTTTTGCATGTTATCACTGGAAACTTTCTTTGGCCTTTCAGCAATTTGCCCCCTTCCCTGGCACACTGGGCTGTGGACATGACAATTCACCTACTTCTTAGAGATTCCACCTACTTACCATGGCTACGCTGAAGACCAAACCTAAGGACTTGAACTTCTGGGGGATAAACCATATTCAAACTATAGCAATATCTCTTCTGGCTATGAGATCCTATAGATCTTTTGGAATGCGGAGTTTAATGCTCTAATGTCAGACTGTTTGGGTTGACTCAAATCCCACTGTCACTAAATAGGACTTTGTGGATTTTCCTCTCTCTGCCTCAGGTTTGTCCTGTGTACAGTGAGATAATAATAGCATCTGTATAACAGCTCTGGTAGGATTAAGTGGGATGCTACATGTAAAGTTCTTGTTTCTTATTTTTTCATTTTTATTTTTTATTTTTGGAAGCATTGGGGATTGAACCAGGAATGAGCTACCACTGAACTTCCTCCCACCAAGCCCTTTGTAATTTTTAAGTTTTGAGGTTGGGTCTCACTGTTGCTGAGACTGGGCTCACACTTGCTATTCTCTTGCCTCAGCCTCCTCAGTATCTGGGGTTACAGGCATGTGCCACCATGCCCAGCACTTACACAATTCTTGTTCAAAAAGTGTTATAGCCAGGTAGCACCTGCCTGTAGTCTCAGCTGCTCAGGATGCTGAAGCACAAGAATCAATTAAGTGCACAAATTCAAGATTGACTTGTGCACTGACTTGAATTTTTTTGAATTTATTTTTTTGTTTGCTTGTTTATTTATTTTGAGACAGGGTTTCTCTGTGTTGCTCAGGCTAGTCTTGAGTTCCTGGGTTCAGTCTGGCAGGACAAAACAGCAACAAAAAGTATTTCTCTGCTCTGTCATAAAAATTAAAAAAGGAATCATAGAAGTAATTCTTACTATTAGAGGTGCTGTTTTATTTTTACACCTTTTAAATATTTACGAGGAAGGTCAAATATTGGATTTTCAGGATTAATGAAATGAGTAGATTGGCAGAAATGTGTACATGCTGGACGGCTTTGCTTACAAAAGGAATTTGTCTTCCAGATCCTGACTCAGTGCTGCCATATAGTGGCCAGACATGAGAATGGCAGCTAGGATTAGCCTTTTTACTGAGAGTGTGCCTGGGCTGGGGTGTGAGTTGTGCAATCAGGACTGGGCAGCTGTGTGGCCAAAGAGTGAGTGTAAGCCACACCTTGGGAAGGAGAGGCATGTTTGCATGCCTATCTGTGACTCAGACAAGAGGAAAACCAAGTGCACTTTAACATGGTCTTGCTTCCCTTGGCATTTACTTAGCACACTTGACTTCTCTTAATACATTCAAGTTCATTTCTTGTCTAAAAACAAAGAAAGATGTCACTGAGCCATTGTGTGATCTGGAGAAGCCTTGGCTTTCCTCCAAGGTTGTTGGAAGAAATGGCTACGTAAATACTTTTGCTGCAAAACTTTGCGGAGGCTGTTGTGTCCCCTAAATCAGGTCTTGTGTGGAAAATTCTTATGAAATTGAGGCCCAGGGGAAGTCTGTCCCTTGTTTGTCATCCTTCTTTGTGATAACACGAGAGCTCCACCACATGTTGCACTTTCCTCTCTGTTTCAACTCCTGAGAAAATCAGCACCCAGCTTGTTGCCTGATACAGGCATTTAAACTGACCCAAATGGATAATGTATCTGCCTCCTCCTTCCCTATTTGGTACTGATTTTTTTTTTTAATCCTGTGGTTCTTTTATTGATTTTACTGCATATTTGTACTTTGATCTATGCCCTCAAATATTTTTTAGAAGAGGAAAGAAATCCATGATTAAATTAAAAGTAGTATATTTGAAGGATTTTTTTTGTGTGTGTATATGTGTGTGTGACATAAAAAAAAAAGTTATTTGAGATGATTTTAAGTCAGTGATTGTACCCAAGTTATTTTTGAGCCTAACAAGTTTATGGGTCAAAGATTTTAGACCATGATGCTTCTTTACTTGGGAAAATGAGAAGCTCATGTAAATAAGGCCATCAAGGAAGTTGTGGGGTGTGTTCAAAGATCAGAACCTATTAAGGCTTGTTTTCTTATCTGTCACCACCAAGGATAATATTGGATCAGCTTGAACATTAGAGACAAAAAGTTGGTGACCTATTGGAAACAAAAATATTTTCTTTACTGCTTTCATTTTGGACATGCCATCATTAGAGCTTCATTTCCTTGAAGTCTTCTTTAAATACAAATTTGCCCTGGGGAGATCAAGACATCAGTTTCTGAAAATTTCAGAGCAAAGGATATGGTCATGGGACTTGCTTTCTGCTGATTCTTTTGGAGTCTGGGTTTTTGCCTGCTCACCAAGAGAAGTGGCTTCTGGGGAGGGCAGAAGCTATCTGGGAAGAGAGGCCTGGATCTGCTTCAGTGAGCTGTGTGACATTAGACAAACCTCAGGCCCTCTCTGCCCTGGTTTTCTTGCCTTGGCATGAAGGGCTTTCAAGGACGCTCTGGCTCATGCACGACCAATCCTGGCTTCGCTCTCTGTGGCCTGTGCCAGTGGAGTCACCTTCCGCCTGTGGGGCTGCTTCAGCTCCTTTCTCTGTTTACTCTCAAGTAAAGCCTTTCTTCTGTTTACTCAGCAAAGATTCTTTTAAGACAGGCTAAGCACACGGTTTACTCTGCTAACAAGCCTTGGCATTTATGGGGAGACCTGTGTTGACTTATTCTTGAGCCTCCATTGACATTCACTGGGAAACGTTAACACAAACACAGGAGACATCCTCAGAGCTGGGGCCTGACACTGCGCTGGGAACAGAACTCTGGCAAGGGCCTTTCTGTTTTGGTTAGAATCACCTGAGAGTTAAAAACAACAATAACATATGCACCAGAAGAGGTTGTAACGATCTCCTTTTAGTTTTTGGACTCAGCAACTGAGCATTTTTTTCTGAAGGTCTCTAGAAAGCTCCCTGTGTTAGTTCTGGACAAAACCATGTTTGTGTCAGCCACTTGAGGAGGCTCCTTCCATGTGCATGGTCCTGTGACATTTGGGGGGCCATTATGGTTCAGTCTCATGGTACCTTGGGCTGTGGGTTCATGTACAAGTTGGCTCTAAGTGGCTGTGTGATCTTCGGACAGTCACTTCCTCTCTCTGCTTTTCAGTTTCTCATCCATGCATTGAAGGGAAGTCATCTGCACACTCATCTCCCCAGCTAGGCCAAGGCTGTGGCCTGAGCCCATGTCTGGTGCTCGCTCAAGAATGTTTGTTTAAATGAATGAGTAAGCCTTGCCCCGACTCCATTCTTGCTCTGATATCTCAGGCCTGAAGCCTCCCCAAAGGCAGGTTCTGCCTTGAGTCATCATCAGACAAGATCTGCTAATGGGGTCATCGCAGATGCCCACAGGCCCCAGATGCTACAGCTGCCCAGTGGTTTCACCTGCTTCTGCCTGTCACTTCCCCCACCCCCATCCCAGAGGTGCTTGTAAAGGAAGCATCTTTTCAGGTGAGGGGACTGTGTATTTGGTTTGTCTTTGTTGCCTGGAAACTGTTGACATCCGAGACACTCTGTTGCCTTAGCTGGGTAATGAAAAATTGATGACTTTTTCTCTGTCAACAGCTTGCAGACCGTTCACCTTGGCTGGGCTGGGTGGAAGTGCTTGCTCCTCCCCCCACAGCTGTTTACTTTCTTTCAGGCAGTTGGGTTTGCTTTAACTAGAGGCAGGAGGGGTCCAGAGACAGCAGGGCAGAGTGAGCTGGACTGGGGTCCTGCTCTTTCCCCTTCCCTCTAGGCTCTTCCTCTTCCAGCAAAAGCCTTCACCCAGCCAGTCTGCAGCTTCTCTCCCCACCACAGCATCCTTAGTGGCTGCTCCTTCCAGAAGCCTCCCCTCATCTCTCCAGCCTGGGATTTCTTCTTATCCCCAAGCAGCCCTAGGGACAGCCTGCAATACCCAATGCCCGCCCATTTCCATTGACTCCCCGATTCTTCTTTTGGTTTGCACTAGTCTGGCCGCCCCTACCAGAGGGCAGCAATGGATCTTCCCAGAGAAGCACAGCATGCTAGGTTTAGAAAGGACCTCAGAGAGCAGCCAGATTTCTTGTTTTTTTATATTTGTGGAAGAGGTAGCTCAGAAGAGGTGGTACAGCCATGGTCACACATGATGTGGTGACTGAGCTTGACCTCCTGACTCCTAATCAGTGGTCACGAAGTTTGTCAATTTGGTACATCCCTGAAAGTCCCCATAGCCTATGGTCTCAATTAGTTGGGAGGCTGAGACAGGAGACTCACTTGTACCCAGGAGTATGATGAGACCAGCGTGGGCAACACAGTGTGACTCCATTTTCAAAAGAACGACAAAAATTGCATGAGATGGGGGCTGGGTACAGTTACAATCAGTGAACCCACACTGATCCCTGAAGTCTGTGGTTTATATTAGAGTTTGCTCTTGGTGTTGTACATTCATGAGTTTGGAGAATGTCATGTATCCTCTATTGCAGCATCATATAAAGTAGTTTCACTGCCCTAAAAATTCCCTGCTCCACCCTTTCATTCTCTCTTCCCAACCCCACTATTTTTCTTTACTGTCTCTTTAGTTTTTTTAAATTATTAATTCAATGTAAGTTAAGCGTGCTGAGAAAGTAGAGAACTTTATTTTTTGACCAGAGTATTGCTAAGTTTCTGAGACTGGCCTTGAACCTGTGGTCCTTCTGCCTCAGCCTCCTGAATCGCTGAGATTACAGGCATGCACCACCACGCCTGGTTCTGTCTCCAAAGTTTCATAATGTCATATAGTTGGAATCATTTGTTGCCTTTTCAGATTGGCTTCTCTCGCTTGGTAATATGCCTTTAATGTTCCCCCATGTCTTTTCATGGTTTGATAGCTCATTTCTTTTTAGCACCGAATGGAAATCCCATTGTCTGGATATTCCACAGTTTATCCATTCACCCACTGAAGGACATCTTGGTTGCTTCTAAGTTTTGACAATTATTAGTAAAGCTGCTATAAACATCTGTGTGCAGGTTTATGTATGTAAATTTTCATCTTCTTTGGGTAAGTTTCAAGAAGCAAGATGTATAGAATTACAAAAGTTGGGAAACATTACAATAAATTCTAGATTTCTGGCTACTCTTTAAAAATCATGGGGCTGGGCATGATGGCTCATGCCTATAGTCTCAGCTCCTTGGGAGGCTAAAGCAGGAGGATTGATTGAGCCTGCAATTTCAAGGTCAGCCTGGAAAACATAGTGAAACCCTCAACTCTAAATAAAAGCAAACAAACAAATAAATCACAGGATTGGGATGGTAGGTGCCTGAGTTGGCTGCAGCCACTGTCCTTTTGGCTAGGCATGTCCTACCTCTCTAACTTCCCACTGCCTCCCCTGGACTCTATGCAGCTGTATCCGCAGTCATGGTTTGTCTGGCTAGTCGAGTTTGCATCCTCTGGAGGAGGTGGCCCAGTGGCATGTCCTTGGTGGTCCTGGGTAGGTAGATGTAGTGTAAGTAACCCCAGACGTTCACGTTGCCGTGTCTGATTTTACTGAGGCCTGATTTGGGAGTGAGTGCTCAGCAAGGTTGGTAGAAGGGAGGGACTCACTGCTGAAGCAGATGACTGAGCCTAGCCTGTCATCTGGTGCCTAGTTCTCATTGCTGAGCTTCTTTGTTCCCAGGTTCTAGTCTTGATAATCTGTCTGACAGTCTGCTCCTCCCCAGATGCAGGAGTTTTAAGTTCTAGGACTAGATTCATTCACTGACTAACTCATTCACTTATGGAATAAGTCAACCTGTTTTCACTTATCTACTAGGCAGACAGTGCTTTTGGTGCCAGAGATGCAGAGATTGTTAGAATCTTGTCCTAAGGCTTAGAAGTCTCCTATCTGGTATAATAAGAGAACTGCAAGGGTCATAGTGGTCTAGGAGGGCTTCATAAGGAATGACCATGGATGGGAGGTAGGAGAGGGAAGAAGCGTGGCTGTGGGAAGGTTGCTGGGAGACTTCCTGAAGGAGGAGATGCTTTCTACAGAGAAAGCTTCTCAAAATAGCACAGAGTAGCTGGACATTTCTGCAGAGCTGCAGGAACATGGTGTGGGTGGACTAGAGTGCAAGGCAGCTGGCAGTGGGAGAGGAGACGGGCCAAGCCCAGAGCAGCACTGTCCAAGAGAAACAGAGTGGGCACTACATAGCTAATTTCAATAATTTGTTTGTTTGTTTTGTGGTGCTGGGATGAATCCAAGGTCTTGCACACGTTAGGCAAGTGTGCTACCCTCAAGCTGTACCCTAGGCCACATAGGTAATTTCAGACTTTCTAGCAGTTACATTAAAAATTCAAAGAACAATTGAAATTGATTTTTAATAATATATTTTGTTTAACACAATGTATTCAAAATACTGCCATTTGAACACGTGGCACTAACCCTGTTTCAAGTGCCCCATGGATCCATGAACTAGTGGTTACTGACCTGACGCGATATTCATTTATGAGCCTTGTTCAGAGGCCTTCTTGGCTCCTTGACTCAGGCAGCCTCAGGTTTCCTGCTCTCTGATTGCCCCTCACTGAGGGGTGGGCTGAGTCTAGGTGGGCACTATCTTTGGGACACCATCCCTGGGGCTGTACCCTGAATCAGCAGCAGGACTTCAGAAATGACACAGGAATCCTTGCGTCATCCACCTGATGAAATGGATCCTCTTGACTTTGGGACCTCTTACCTGTTGTTTGCCCTCTTTAGACTAGTGCTACTCCAAAGTGTGGTCCATGGTCACATACCAGCTCACAGCACATTGTTATCTGTCTGTACAGAGCCATAGATACTGTACTGAATATGAAAGAATAAGCATTAAAAACTCCGTAGTAATATGACATTGGTACATCATTCCAACAACATTTCTCTTTCTTTCATTTTTCTTGAGTATGATAAAAAGTGTTGGTTCTTGAGATTAGAAGTCAAAGAAACAAAGATAGTTATTTTTAGAAGATATTATTTTTTTTTCTGGGACACAATGGAATACCATTCAGCCTTCAAAAGAAGAAAATTATGTCATTTGTGAGAAACTAGATGAACCCAAAGGACATTATGCTAAATGAAATAAATCAGGCACAGAAAGACAAATGCTGAGGAATCTCTCTTATATGTGGAGTCTACAATGACTGAATTGGACTGGGGGTGGGGCTCAGCCATATCAGAGCAGGTACTTAGTAGGCCTGGGGCCCTGGGTTCAATCTCCAGCACCAAAACATGGACAGACCGACAACTCAACTCAGAGGTGGAGAGTATGATGATGGTCCCCAGAGGCTGAGGGGGTTGGGAGATGTTGGCCAAAGCCTACAAAATCAGCTAGCCATGAGGAATGAATTTTCTGAGATCTGTTGTACAGCATAATTACTATAGTGAGTAATAATGTATTATGTATTTCAAAACTGCGGAGAGTGAATTTGAGATGTCCTCCCCAAGAAAGATGATATTGCAGATTATATACATTATTGAACATTACATCATCTCCCACTAATATCTCCAGTTACATTTTTGTCAGTTAACAGTAAGAATTCCAAATTAAAAACAACAACAACAACATCAACAACAACAAAAAAACCAAGGCGCTGGGCCTTCCTCAGGGTGGCTATGAAAGGAAGGCCTTGTTAGGCGCTTGCCAAGGGCTGTGTCTTGTGCAGTTCTCCTTTAGGACAGGAGGGGGCAGCAGAGACACAAGTAATCGCCCTGAGCAGGGCCACAGTGCTCATTCTCCAAGCACCCTCTATTTGGCACCTTCTGAATGCTGGGGACACAGAGATAAGCAGACTTTGCTTCCTCCTTCTTTCTCATTTGCCTCAACAGAGCAGAGACTCCAGGGAGAGCATCCAGGAGGGCCATCCACATGGAGATGACAGGAGTCAGGCTTCTTGCCAGGGGCTTTGCTCCCTGGGAAGAGTAGCTGCAGCTGGGGTATGCAGCAGAGGCGCTGATTCCAGCTGGGGTGAGGAATCCTGGCTCCTTCTTCAATTACTGGGAGACCTTGGTTTCCTCAAGTGTAAAGGGGGCATGCTCATGATAGCCACCCTGAAAGCTCTTGGGGTTCAAGCAGATAGTCCACAGAGAGCTCATCGCACTGTGCCTGGCTTGTATGGAGACCCCACCAATGTGTTCATTATTGTGACAGCCCCAACCTAACTTGTCTGCTCTCACCTCCTGTGATGCAGGAAATGCCACACTTTCCAGATGGACACTTTTCCCTAAGGCAACCAGTTCCACCAGTCACTCTGACTGCTGTACCCTGTGACACAGTGAGTCTTGGCTTAGTTCTCTCCTCCCCAGGAAGTCAGCCAGGATGGGCCCAAGAGCTTTCTCACTGCGGCCTTGTGCTTTAAAAGGCTATTTCCTAGTTGTTCTAGTTTTTTCCTTCTCTATATCTATCAGACCTGCAGGGACTCTGAACATTTCAGAGTATACAAGTCACTGTTATTCTCATCTCCCACTGGAAGACACTGTGGCATATGTAGTTGTGAGCCTGATCCC